GTCTGTTCAATGCATTTGCTTTTCAGTTGAGTTTCCAAAATGGTCAGCTTGTGCATAAAGAATTGAAAATGATGTCAGTGTTAACTCACGGTGATCTTTGGACAAATAATATTCTCTGGAGAAAGGTACCTGATTGTTGTGACGGCGAAACGTTCGATGAAATAGTGGCAATCATTGATTGGCAGGTGAAAAGGCTCTTTGATCTATTAATAGGTATCATTCAGTAGTTATTGAGGTTGATATCATGAATTGCGTTTTCAGAATGCACACGCGGGCAATGTAGCCGAGGATTTCGTTCGTCTTCTGGGCAGTTCAGTTGATCCAGATGTTCGTCGAGGACAGTTAGATCACCTATTGCTATTCTATCATCAATGTTTACTGGCAAAACTTCGGGAAAGAAATATTCATCAGATACCGTTTACGGTTGAGCAGATCAAACACGCTTATGAGAGACTTTTCGGCCAGGTTCGTGGAATGTTTATGGTCCGATATTGGCTGATATAATTGTTAACGTTACGATCCTGTCTACTTCAGCTTTTTGTCGTTTACCTTCCATATCAAAGACGTTGAAGGTTAGAGTACGAGACGGATGCAGTTTAAAAAATTTGAAGGGGCTTCTTATAATGTTACCATCGCTGAGTGGACATGCTGATGAAGGGAATGGTCTGCTTGGTGAGGAACACGTTCACGAAAGACAACAGCGTATTCTTTACAGGTAAATGAATAATTTCGAATGCATTTGCACATTAATTGTTAGCGATCTTGAATGAAATAGAGATATCACGTCAATATTCCAATCATCAACCTCAACGATAACGTCAGTGATGTATTGAGGTGTCGATGTTTGATCGAAGACTTCCTCATATACAAGCATAAATTACAAGAGGAACAGAACGCGAGCACCGTTTAGCCGGCCAACATAGTTGTATAATGGAATATTTTCATTTGGTTGCGCTTTTGTGATTCAGTTGTCGCATTATTGTAATTTGCGTTATCTGAATTTTTTGGTGATGAATTCGATTGTTTTCATACTGTATACGGTGTTTATCTGGCTTGTTTTATGATGTACGCGAAGTAATCATTCTGGAGTGAAAAGAACGTATTATATTGCAGCAAGGAGTTTTTCATGCCATTCAACCGAACTGTTAGTCAGTTTTCGGTTTGGTTTCAATCGTGCACCATTTGAGCGGCCTTTCAGCGAGCATCTTGGCAGCAAAAAATTCCACGAATTTTTTATTGATTGTGAGAATTTGATTGGAACTTGCTTGCCATGAATGTGTGTGTGTGTTGTAAGCATATCGTGATTTTTGTAACCGAATTTTGTTGCGTATGAATTGTGTATATATGGTATGAATTGTGTATATATGGTCATCAACTATTGACGAGTCACATAAATGACTCATTCACTGTGTATAAACTTATCGCATATGTAAACTTTTCAATCGATTGTGATTGATCTATGTGATTGATTTCGTGTGTGTTTCGAGAGAAGTTTCNATACTCAATCGCTCCGTGTAGTCGAGCAGATTGATGCCTCTGGTACGTTTCTGAACGCATCATTTTTCTTCTTCATCAGAGACACTTTTCTATCCTGAAAAGCGCTCGTCGGCTTTGTAAACCATGAACAAGTAACTAGCTCACGAGCGATCTAAGCCTTCAGTGTCTGCAAGTATCGTTTCCGGACACCAAGCTTCATAATTCCGTGGTTGTTCTTATGCAAATGACGAGTTGGATTGGTGAACGTTCGGTTCTTCTATTGATTTTATCGCTGAATATATCGCTAAAGCAGATTATGAAGGAATTTTAAAAGAACGAATACACGAATGATGATTGCCCATAGAAATCGCTTCATCAAACACTTTTATAAAGAAGAACAGCAAAGTCATCAATGTAAAAGTAGATGAAATGATTATTTTTGTGTGTAATGAACGAGCCAAAGCTACTTCCAACGATACATTGCCAATGCGTACCATATTTCGCATCAAATCTCATTCTTAGTGCATTTGCGATTGCTTTTTCATTCGTATTCCCAGCTAGAATTTGCTCTTTTGCAACTGTTTGCGCGAACAACGCCTCTTCGAAACTCATCTCGACACTCTTAAATTCTATCGTTATACCAGTGAGCACTTATAAAACATCTATCAAGTTCCGACTGCATAAACAAACATAGAATACGAGGATGAATAAGCTAAAAACTAAAACAGATGTAAAAAGTGATGGTACTCAAAAACCTTCTTGATTCATCATTTCACTAACGTTCACGCACCTGCATCTTCAAGGATGTTTTATAAGAACTATTCAAAAACGAACTATCAAACAAAACAAACCCGTAAAGTAATGCGTGGTTGCCGACTCAATGTGACTTCCGCAGAAAGACTACTCATTTCGAGCACAACTATAAAGATTGCGATGAATTATTAATTTACGGTGGATGATCATTGTTTGTTTGGAATGCGATTTTCAAATTTTTGATACCTAAAACAAAATTAATGTTCACATTTAGATTAATATTCCATCTTGTATGAATAATATTCATAATGCGTCACGGCATGAGCAGCAAGCAGTCGCAACTTCCTTCCATAATGGAGTCTATCTGTGTATTTCGTGGGAAATAAATGGGATGATGTTGATGAAAGAGATCAACATTTTTGCTCGAACATATATATGGAATTGAGAATTTTCGAATCGAAGATTTTCGATCTGCACAGAACA